TGTGGTAGGGGTGTATGGTGTGTGTACGAGTGCGCACGCGCTCAGAGTGAGAGGAGGTGCCCAGTCCCGGGCGGAGGTCTGATGAGCTCCTTTGCTTGGTGTCACAGGTGGAGTATGCCTACAGTGACAACAGCCTGGACCCCGGTGAGTACCTCTCCCACGGTCTCTAGCTCCCTGGTGACACTCCTGCCACAGTCCTGTGGATTCCCGTGGTCTTGCCAGCCACACCTGAGCACAGTCCACTGTCCCTGAGCGGAGTTCCTGCCCTGAGACAATGAGGGAGGAGCTGCATAAGGGGCAGGAAGCATAAGGGTATAATTCCTGCTGCTCTGAAACAAGGAAATGATGAAAATAGTGGGAGCTAGCCATTCTGTCACCCTCGTTGTGCCTAGATGCCACTTTGTGAACCGGTGGTATCATTGCAGGCCCCCGGAGCAGTGGAGACACCAGAGACAGGAGCACTGTGGTGGGGCACAGCAGGAAGTGGATGACCCAATATGGGTAGCTTTTGGGTTGAAAGGGAGAGGTCAGCATTTAAGGATCAGGAAGCCATTGTACACACAGGTGTCTGAAAGTCTAACAGTGTCCTCCTGTCCTACCCCTTAGTGATTGGGACCTCTCTTTTACAGGGCTTTTTGTAGAAAGTACCCGAAAGGGGAGTGTAGTGTCCAGAGCTAATAGCATCGGTTCCACCAGTGCCTCTTCTGTCCCCAATACAGGTAGGCAGCAACATGCCCCCACCTGGGGGGGGCTCAGATATACCATCATTTTAGTCTATTTCCTAGACAGGAAGCTCCAGTCATCCACACGGGGGTGCTGGAGGCCTAGTGTTAGACACAGGGTCTCACCATCTTTCACCTCATCTAGAATATTAGACGGTTCTGTCCGTTTGCTGTCTCTGAGCACCAGTTTTTTCTTCCCCACTGGGGCAAGGTGGGTTAGCTGGGCCCACTGGGCTTCAAAATGACCTCTTCCTGCCCCCAACTTTGAGCGTAGATGATGAGGACAGTGATTACCACCAGGAGTCCTACAAGGAGTCCTACAAGGACCGGCGGCGGCGAGCACACACTCAGGCTGAGCAGAAGAGGAGAGACGCCATCAAGGTGACTGGGGAGGCCTGTACCTCAGCCAATGCAGGAGGGCCCTGTGTATTTCAGATCTACCCTGCCCTCATCAGTCCCCAGCATCCTTGGTGGCAGCTGCTCTAGTCCCCGGATATGAACACCTCCTTTTTTCTAGTTCCCTACCCCTTTGAGTTTGTGAGCATGGAACTTGGGTTCACAGAAAGTTTTGTGCCAGTTTGCCTGAATCCCTTGGAGTTAAGGAACCCTTGTTTTCCCTCCTGTCTCCACAGAGAGGCTATGATGACCTCCAGACCATCGTCCCCACCTGCCAGCAGCAGGACTTCTCCATTGGCTCCCAAAAGCTCAGCAAAGCCATCGTTCTACAGAAGAGTATGGCCAGGGAGAGCACTGAGAGTGTTTGGGGCCAGTGGTGCTGTGAGGAGGCCAGAGCCTTACACTCACTTTCGGCCTGGCCCCGGTGGGGTGATTATAATGGGAGAGTTGGGGAAAGGGAGGAAGGGGAAACAAAGTAAACCTTGTCCTTCTGGCTGAGACATCCTCTGTGCCCACCCTCACTGCAGCTATTGACTACATCCAGTTTTTGCACAAGGAGAAGAAAAAGCAGGAGGAGGAGGTGTCCATGCTACGCAAGGACGTCACGGCCCTAAAGATCATGAAAGTGTAAGGGGGGGGATGCTGAGCTCGGGGAGCCAGGGCTTCTGAGGGGACTCTGAAGCTGACTTCAGTTCATACCTTTCTCTTGTTCAAAGGCCACATCAGATAATACAGAACAGATAATCTTCTCATTCCTGTAGGTGGCCACTTAGGGGTAGGACTCTGTACCCCAACAGTCACTGATACCTAGCAGATACTCAAAGTGCCTGTGGGATTAGCGAGGGGTAGAGAGAGGGGTCACCCATTTCTGTCCCAGCAGCTCTCCGGGAACCCCTTCCCGGGGCTGGGGGAGTACATAGGGTGACCTGAGCTGCTATAGCACCTTAGCCCTGTCCTACTCGCTTTCAGGAACTATGAGCAGATTGTGAAGGCACACCAGGACAACCCCCATGAGGGAGACGACCAGGTCTCTGACCAAGTCAAGTTCAATGTGTTTCAAGGCATCATGGACTCACTGTTCCAGTCCTTCAATGCCTCTATCTCCGTGGCCAGTTTCCAGGAGCTGTCAGCCTGTGTCTTCAGCTGGATTGAGGAGCACTGTAAGCCTCAGGTATGGGGCAGCAGTGGTCAAGGGGTGCGGATTTTCTGTCTTCCTTCAGGCCAAGTGACCCAAGTCCTAATTTGTTCAGAGAGGGAAGGTGGCAACTTTTAGGTTTCTGGAGGGTCTCTTCTTTGCTTCCTGGCCCACATTTTCCTGTTAAGGTTTCATTTGGCAAGAATGATGTGGGCACTTAACTCAGGCAAGGCCTCGCTCTGGCCTTTGTTAGCTCGCGTTATGGCTGCCTCGTATGTAAGCCCTCATCACTCATAGCAGAATCACGTGGAATTTCTAGAAAGATTCCTGGCTCCCACCCCCAGGCCCACTAGTTTTCCCTGGGGTTTGTGATTATTTGTAATGGAGCCATGTGTTAATGGTATTGCATGGAGTTTCTGAGGCTTGACTTGCATCTCACTTTTTTGTTTCCTGACATTTTCTGGAACCACTTTAAGTGTCCTGTGACACAGAGTGGACACTCCTGTGCCCACCACCTAAATGCTACCATTCCCATTTCTTGTATTTGCTTTACCACATAGCTGTCCATGTCTCCATCCCTTTCTCTGTCCTGTCTCGGGGACATTTCAGAGTCGACTGTAAACGGTGTTTCCCAGGGGCTTTTTCTGTTGTACTCAAGAGCATGACTGGTCTAGGCAGGTATCTGAGCCTCTGTCCTCACGTGAGCATCACTCGTGTCTTCCTCTGCTGCCCCCGCCAGACCCTACGGGAGATTGTGATTGGCGTCTTGCACCAATTGAAGAACCAGCTGTACTGACTGGGTTTTGGAAGCTGCAGAAGAGCCAACAAGAGGCCAGAGTCTCCTACTTGGCCACGGAGCCACTGGGCTTATGAGATTGGACTGCGACACTGCACACCAGTCAGCTGGTTCTCGGTGTTTGGTTCCCCAGCACCCCTTCATCCTCACTGGGGCTGGGGTATTTGTTTTGTGAAAGCTTTAATTTATTATACTGACCACAGAACTTGAGCTTACTGTCTTTCCCCTTCTCCGTAGAAGTCTTCGGGAGGGGGGACCCTGTTCTGGGGACACCCCCCCTCCCCCCATAAGAGCTCCTGGTCTCTCCCCTTCTAATCCTCAGATTTTTGCTCCTGATTACACATATTGGGAAGCTACTGTTTGCATTTGGTTTGGTCTCTTGGGCAACATTTGGCCCAAGTTTGGCCATTTTGGCAGTAGTTGGATGGGAAGGGAGGAACATGAGGAAATACTCCCACAGCCAAGAGGGGTGAAAGGCCTCCTTGTGCCTTGGCTAGGGCTGCCTGGTCAGCCCAAGGTGAGATCAGGCCTCTTCTGGCCAGCTCAGGGCAGGGCTACTGGCTTCCTGCCCTCACTTGCTACTGCATCCCCTCTCCTTCCTCCCCCACATACTCCTGCCCCCTCTGTCCCCACAGGCAGGAGCATAGCACAGAGAAGTTACATGTGACACAGCACTACATATTAAATTTTTTTTTAATATTCTAAACACCAACATCGCAATTTTGCTAAAGTTACAATTTTTGAAAGTGAACTGGGCCTCAAAATCACTCCCAGCCATCCTGTCGAGCATATCTGGGTCTCCACCATCTCAGTGCTGCTTGTGTTTCTCCCAGGACTTGGGAGTGGCGTGAAGGGGTAGAGAAGATACTTTAAAGGCCTCCTGGGGTACAGAGCCCAGAAAAGTCCTGGGTAAAGCCTTGGGCTCCTCGAATGCTGTGTATACTAGCTTCTCTCTACCCGGTAGCCTTCCTCAGGGTTGACATCTGGGAGGTTTGGTTATCCAGAGGAAATTATTTTTATATCAAATTATAGTACAATAAATATTGCCAAATGCTTTCCTTTAGCGTTGTTCCAAGTTTAAGTGCAAGCAATTGGAATCTAGATGATGAAACGAGCATGACAACCATCCACTCTGGGCTTGCTCACTCCCTGAGCCCTGTATTCTGGTTCATGCCCCTCTCCCAGCTGCTCTGCTCAAAGGTGGAAAGCAGCAGGAACAAAGAAGCCAACCTGAAGGAGGCAGCCAGTCCAGAACGTCGCTTCCATTCCCCCATCCTGCAGAGGACTCCTCAAGGGTCTGGGAGCTTCACGTTGTAATCTTCATCAGTCTCTATCCCAACTTCCTCCTGGGGCAGGGAGACCAGTAAACGAGACCTCCCTGGACGAAGACCCCAGGGTGGCAAGGAGGGGAGAGACAGAGAGAACCACTTACAAAGAACTGCTTCTTGCTCTTGGGGTATCCTTCAAGGATCGCATCAGACAATTCTGTTGCCTGACAAGAAACAAAACCACCCCTTTTCAGACGGGCAGCACTGCCTGGCGGACCCGTGACCTCAGGCAGCAGTTTCTCCGGTGGCTGCCATTTCCCAGGGCCTGCTGCGGAGCTCACGCACTTACCATCCTCTTCCGCTTCCTCCATTCCTTGCAGTACTTCTGCCTCTCTCTGTACACCTGCACAGGGAAACAGCTTGCTCTAGCCCCTCAGGGGCTGCTGGGGGGCAACCTTGGCCTCACTCCAGACCTGCACGGGCAGACCTCCCCGCTACCACCCTTCCTCCTGACTCACCTGCTCTTTCTCTTCTGGAGTCACATGGTTGGTGGCTGCTTTGATGTTCTTCAGTCTCTCTCTGTAGCCAGCACATTCCTTCTTCAACTCCTGGATCTCTTTCTGCATCTCCGGTGTGGTCAGGGCACTAGTTAACTCCTTCAGCTCTGAAACCACATCTCCCTGAGGTCGCTTCTTACCCTGATGATGGGGTTTTGTCTTTCCCAGAGGGTGCTCCCTGAGGTAGGAGACTGGGCCCCTACCTTGCTCTAGGTTCTACACCCAGGGTCCAGAATGAGTTCCATATTCTGGAAATTGCGCTCAGCAGAGATTAAGGCTTATAGAATTACCAGTTTAGTCTGCTTTTCTTTCCTCTTCCATCTACAAGCAGTGGTAAAGTGTGAGGCTGAACAGACTGTTCCCTGTAGCCAGTTAAAGAAACAGGCACAGAGGGAGTGTGGGCACAGTACACTGATCATGTCAGGGAAAGCAAATGCGTGTCTTGCCCATTTATATTCAAAAGCCATTAGCTGTTTACGTCTCTTGTAACATAATGCCAGTGGCGGCCCAGCCCAGCTCTCCACTGCAGCGAGACAACATTGCAGTCAGCAAACCATTCACTTAGGGATTCCTGCCCTCTGGACTGACCCTCGCGCCAGGGGCCCCTTCCGGCATCCGCCCAGTCCTACCGGCCTCCATGTGGCGGCAGCTCTGCTGGAGGCTCTGCACCTTGGCAGTGAGGGCCACGATTTTGGTGTCCAGGCCTTGGAGGTCAGCGTCACTCACCATGTCGAACTGGTCCTGCCAGAGGTGAGACGACAAACAGAAGTGGGTGGGTGTGATGTGAAGCCACATCTGGGCAGGCCACATCACATCCGCTCAAGAACCTGGGGCTCCCCAGCCCTCCAGGGGGCCTGGGAGAACAGCGGGAGGGTCCCTGTGAGACACCATTCAGTTCGGTACTGGTCCCAACAAACAAAACGGTATAAAAAAGTTAAAACCTGATGCCTGTCCTCAAGGGGCTTCAGGATACTGAACAGGGCAGAAATCTTAGTTTAGTGGTAAAACCACTCACTGGGCTAAAAGAGTAAAGGAACATTCTTCCCAAGGTAGTGATACCTAAATTACACATTTCCACAGTAGGAAGAACCTGGGCAGGTCAAGAGTCATGGTGGGTGGTATTGAAGGGACTCCAGTAAACGTCTGAGGGGCCCCTCCCCTGAGAGAGACCAGCTGCCGCAAAGGACTTTGGTGGGGCTCGGGATGGGGGGTGGGGTGGTCTTGTCAGTGATGTCAGGGAGCAGGTTAGAAAGAATAGGAATGCCAGCCTGGGCAGTTTGGACTCTTCATTAAAGCAAAGTAAACCTTTATAGCAGAAGGCAGCAAACTACAGCCTGCACGCCAAATCCTGCCACATTCGGGGTTGTGAAAACAAAAATTTTTGGAAACACAGTTACACCCACTCGTTTACATGTTTACTCGTTTACATGTGATCATTTACATACTGCTCTATAATGACGGCCCTCAGTGGCTGTGACAGTTGTGTAGCTATGACAAGAGGCCATCTGGCCGGCAAAGCACAAAATTGTCTTTACAGAAAAAATGCTGCCAAATTCTCCCTTAGGGACTCTTCATTAGAGTAGTAATGTAATGAAACCTATTTCAGAAAAGTTAGTCTTGATGGTGGTGTGGTTCAGTTAAACTAGTATTCGGGGTCTACTGGACGTTAGATACTGGGGTGGGGGGGGGCTTGTGCTGAGCAAAGGAGGAAGAGTGAGAAGTGGGCTCAGCCCTGGAAGGGCTGAAGTCTAGTGAGGAGATGGGTAAAAAGACCACCACAATATAGCATCCCTCAGGGAGGTGAGTGCCTGAAGAAGAGGCGAGGAGAGAATCCGGGGAAGGTTTCTGGAGGCGATGCCTGAAAGAGAACCTTGGAGTAAGAGTTCGCTGAGCAAAGAGGCAGAAGAGGAAGAAGGGATTTTAAAACTCCAGGCAGAGGAAGGACACAGGAGTAAAATACACCTAAATGGTCTAGTACTGGTGAAGGGACAGGTGAGGCTAGCAGCAGCCTGGAGCCGAGTCTCTATGTAGATTTCTCCCTGTTGTAGGGAGTGCTGGAGTTTCAAGTAGGGAAATGGCCCCAGATAGTACTGACGCAGACCATTCTGGCTGCAGCGTTTAAGATGTGTGAGGAGGCCAGGAGATGTGAGGAGGCTATCATGATAGATGAGGAGAACCTGAACTCAATCAGCAATGGCAGACAGAAAGGGGAGGGTGGATTCAGGAAGGGGGAAAGCCAACTGGATTTGCTGGCTGCCTAAGCTGTGAGGTAAGAGTGACTCCCCAGTCTCTGAGTTGGGTGAGGAGTGGCTCTAACTGAGGGAGAAGCCTGTAAAAGGAGCCCATTTAGGGGAGATGTTCATTCTACTTCAGCAATATTGATTCTGCAAGGTCTGGAAGGCATCCAGGCGGTGGTCTGGCCTAGAGATACAAAATTAGTGTCATCTGTGTTGGGAGGGGTGGGGACAGAAGGCAAATCATTTGCCAGATGATGGTTCTGATCTAGATGACTGGGAAAAAGAAACCTCCAAGCGGAAAGGGACCTCGGTAGGAACAATTCAGGATCTTCTGTCATCTATCATGTACATCTCAGATCTGGAAGTCTCGTTGAGTCTGGATCACAGCAAGGGGAGTACCCACTTTGATTTAAAGGGTGTGTGGGGCCCTTTTAATGGCGTGGGCTAGCTGAGTTTCACGGGATGCCTCAAGTCAGAGTTCATTCTAGAGACTGATTCACCTAATGTCGGGCCTCACACGGGTGATAATCTGCACAGGTTTCCCTCACCTGGTCCGCAAAATAGATCTTCTGCTTGCCGTACATCTTCTCTTTGATTTTGCCTTGTTGGGCCAGCTGCTCCAGCGCCTTCACCACCGCCTGGCAGAGGGGAGAGGCAGAAGCAATCAGAGGGATGATTTAGGGCCCAGGCAGCGGGAATTAGGGCCGCCAGCCTTAGGAAGCTCAAGGCTAGAATGGCTGCCTCGAGAGGGCAGCACTTCAGGCTGATTCGAGGGGCCCCAAGGGTAGGGGGGCGGTCCCAGGAGAGGGTCCTCACCGCCTTGCCCAGTCCATGTTCCCGCTGCAGGTTCCCGAACACGTCCTGGGCGCTGTAGGGCCGGTTCTGCTCCTGCAGGTATCTCAAGATAATCCCGGGGGCTACGAGGAGACGGGGCATGGGGGGAGGTCACTCAACCGACCCCTCGCCAGCCCCCCGCCCGGGTCTCCCCCGTGCCCGCGGTCCGTTTACCTCCCGCCGCAGCCTCGGCCCGGCCTTTACTCATGGCCTTTCCCGCCGCCAACTTGGAAAGCCGGACGTTGCAGTCGCCCGGGGCAACGGCTGCTTCCGGCGACGGGAAGGGCGGGCCGCAAGCGGTGATTGGCGGAAGGGGAAGTCTTGGCGAGGAACGAAGCGACCCTTCCCGGGCGCCGTAGGTCAGTGTTGTCGGGAGCCGGGTATGAGC